TACCCCTCCATACCTCATACCCCCTTCATACCTCCTCAATACCTCATACCCCCTCCATACCTCATTCCCACCTCATACCTCCATACCTTATACCCCTCAATACCTTATACCCCTCCATACCTCATACCTCCTCCATGCCTCATATCTCCTCCATGCCTCATACCCCCTCCCTGCCTCATACCCCCCCCACCCCTCACCCTCCCCTCCATGCCTCATACCCCCTCCATGCCTCATACCTCCATACGTTATACCTCCTCCATACCGCCTCATGCCTCCTCCATACCACCTCCATGCCTCATACCTCAATACCTTATACCCCCTCCATATCTCATACCTCCTCCATACCTCCCCCCTCCATACCTCATACCCCCTTCATACCTCCTCCATGCCTCATACCCCCTCCATGCCTCATACCTCCATACGTTATACCTCCTCCATACCTCATACCCCCTCCATGCCTCATACTACCTCCATACCTCATACCCCCTCCATGCCTCATACCTCCATATGTTATACCTCCTCCATACCGCCTCATGCCTCCTCCATACCACCTCCATGCCTCATACCTCCTCCATGCTTCATACCTCAATACCATATACCCCCTCCATATCTCATACCTCCTCCATGCCTCATACCCCTCCGCCTCATACCTCCTCCATACCTTACCCCCTCCATACCTCATACCCCTTCATACCTTCTACATACCTCATACCCCCTCCATACCTCATTCCCTCTTCATACCTTATAACCCCTCCATACCTTATACCTTCTCCATACCTCATACCTCCTCCATACCTTATACCCCCTCCATACCTCATATCTCCTACATATATCATATCCCCACCACCCCTCTACAAACCTCATACCCCTCCATGCCTCATACCTCCTCCATACCTCATACCCCTCCATACCTCATTCCCTCTCCATACCTCATACCCCCTCAATGCCTCATACCTCCTCCATACCTCATTCCCTCTCCATACCCCATACCCCCTCCATACCTCATACACCCTCCATACCTCATACACCCTCCATACCTCATACCCCTCCATACCTCATACCGCTTCCATGCCTCATACCTCCTACCCCTCCATACCTCATACCTCCTCCATACCTCATACCTCCTCCATACCTCATTCCCTCTCCATACCTCCTCCATACCCCCTCCATACCTCATACACCCTCCATACCTCATACCCCTCCATACCTCATACCGCTTCCATGCCTCATACCGCCTCCATACCTCCTACCCCTCCATACCTCATACCCCCTCCATACCTCATACCCCCTCCATACCTCCTCCATACCTCATACCCCCTCCATACCTCCTCCATAACTCATTCCCTCTCTATACCTCATATCTCCTCCCTACCTCATACCTCCTCCCTACCTCATACCCCCTCCCTACCTCATACACCCTCCATACCTCATACCCCTCCATACCTCACACCGCCTCCATGCCTCATACCCCCTCCATACCTCCTACCCCTCCATACCTCATACCTCCTCCATGCCTCATACCTCCTACCCCTCCATGCCTCATACCCCCTCCATACCTTATACCTCCTCCATACCCCCTCCATGCCTCATACCCCCTCCATACCTCATACCCCCTCCATACCTTATACCTTAGGGTTACTCGGTGTATGCCCTGTATATGCTCTGTGTGTGCTCGGTGTATGAAGTACAGAGGTCAGGGTGTGACGCACATTACAGATGTCAGGGTGTGATGTACAGTACAGAGGTCAGGGTGTGACATACAGAGGTCAGGGTGTGATGCACAGTACAGAGGTCAGGGTGTGATGCACAGTACAGAGGTCAGGGTGTGATGCACAGTACAGAGGTCAGGGTGTGATGCACAGTACAGAGGTCAGAGTGTGATGTACAGTAGAGAGGTCAGGGTGTGACATACAGAGGTCAGGGTGTGATGCACAGTACAGAGGTCAGGGTGTGACGCACAGTACAGAGGTCAGGGTGTAAAAAACAGTACAGAGGTCAGGGTGTGATGCACAGTACAGAGGTCA